AAAAAAAACCCTCTCCCCCCCCCCCCCCCCCCCCAATAAAAAAAACCAAAAAAAACAAAAAAAAAGGACAAAAGTTCAACTACACACACAAACACCAAAATGTAAAAACACATCTTATTCAACGTATAACCTGATAGTTATCAATAGGTTTTAGGGATTTAAAGATTGTCTTAATGAATATTTAATGTTTCAGATACCTCCTAGTAATAAAGAGAAGGAAGCAGCAAAATTTGCTCAAATGTGGAACAAAATCATTACTAGTTTCCGAGATGAAGATCTCATAAGCAACAGGTACCTTAATTTCTATCAGAGCTAACTGCATATTACAATATGTTTTTGGTGTTATCATATGTTTATTGAGTATCTCAACAGATCATGTCAAATAAATTCAGGGAAATGGACTTGTTGCTTGTTCCATACTGGGCAGATCGGGATTTGGACCTTGTCCAGTGGCCTCCATTTTTACTTGCTAGCAAGGTTTGTTTGATCTGTTCATCTAGTGTCCTTATGGCAAATGCTAACGTTCCTATAAACATCTGTTGTCAGATCCCGATTGCACTAGACATGGCTAAAGACAGCAAAGGTAAAGATCGTGATCTGAAAAAGAGACTCGATGCTGATGATTATATGGCTTGTGCTGTTCGTGAGTGTTATGCATCTTTTAAGAACATTATTAACCACTTAGTTGAAGGTTCTCGCGAGAAGGAGTAAGCTACCATATCTTTTCTGAGTACTTTTTTTTACCTTCCAGTGCACTAATTGGTTTCATATTTTCTCCACTCGTTTGTAATGATTCTTCTATCATGTTCATTACAGAGTTATACAGGAAATATTTGAGGAGGTTGACAAGCACATAGCGGAAGATACGCTGATAAAAGAATTAAAAATGAGTGCTCTTCCAGCTCTTAGCGACAAATTTATCAAATTAATTAAACATCTTGTAAGCATTCTGACCTTTTGGTGGATTAATTCACTGCTTTAAATAGAGTTTAAGCTGATTATTGGTTCTGTTTTTTCAGATGGATAATAAACAAGAAGACAGGGATCAGGTTGTCATACTTTTCCAAGATATGCTGGAAGTTGTGACCAGGGATATAATGGATGAGCAAATTTCAGGGTATGAAATTTGATGGATTTATTTGTGGGCTTTAGAATATATACATTCTTTTAAGACAATATGTCATTGATCTTGGATAGTATAGTGTACAATTGTTGTCCAGGCTCTCCTTCAGGTTCGTTTCGGTGCTTCATATATAGGTTATTGCATACAAATGGCATACCAATCCTTCTTACCTCTTTGAGTCCTAGTTAACAAAAAGTTCCTAACCTTTCACCTAAATTTAGAGATATCTTGCAGATGAATTTACTATCATGTGGCAGTATTTGCTAATAACTCCATACCAGTTCTTTTAACTATTAATTGTTGCCTTGGTTTTGATGAATGTTTATTATTTCTTTGTTATTGAAGGCTACATCAAAGAGAATTTCCATCCCTGTTCCTATGACAGAATCCCATGATGTGCTATTGTTCAAATTCAATTTATTATTGTGGAAATGATTTCTGTTTTTCTTTTGCAGTTTGCTAGATTCCAGCCATGGTGGATCATATGGGAGGTATGAGGGGATGACACTTAATGATAAAAAAGAACAGTTATTTGCTCCAGCTGGGGCAATTAAGTTTCCCTTGCCAGAATCAGATGCTTGGACAGAGAAAGTACAGCTTAATACCATTCTTATTATATCAGGACATCTATGCATCTGCCTTGGACTAAGATTTCTTTCTTTAATAGATCAAGAGGCTTTATCTGCTGCTCACTGTGAAGGAGTCTGCAATGGATGTCCCGTCCAATTTGGAAGCTAGAAGACGCATTTCTTTCTTCAGCAATTCTCTGTTTATGCATATGCCTGATGCACCCAAAGTTCGGAATATGCTTTCCTTTTCGTAAGTTGTTTTTGAATTTTCAATTTTGTATTTTTACAATCAAAACTGCTTGTGAGTATTTTGTTCGCATTTATCTTTTTCGTTCCAATGTTATTTGTATCAGATATGTCTTTCACAATTCATTTCCATCTTCATGCAGCCAATACATCAGCTTTTACTTTTTAGTCTTTTTATGTTTTTTGAGTACAATCTTTATTTCAGTAAAATTGCCTAGACAGGTGTATAGACCCTACAGCCAAGTTTCAACATGTAGTTGGTGCTATGTCCTTTTTGAGCATAGTTAAATCTGGAGTTTTTTTAGTCTGCAAAATGTAGCTGCAACTGCATCTTGAGTTCTAAATTCAGATACCTGTACAAATATCTGTGGTTCGCACTTAGTTGGAGCTGCTTGCGTGTTCTTCTTATGCAACCAGCCGTGTAGAGAGTACTTTCGTGGTTTTTTTAGTTTTGTGTTTCGTTGGTTTTTTGGGTTTTTTTTTTGGTTTGGGGGGGGGGGGGGGG